CCCCAAAACCCCAAAACCCCAAAACCCCAAAACCCCAAAACCCCTATGATAATAAAGATTGAATAAAAAGTATTTTATTAATTGAGTGTTAAATAAGTAAGTGTCCATATCTTTATGAAAAAGCGATTTCACAAGTCTACAGACCTACCACCATTTCCTCTTAGCAATCATCATAATCAGTGCTATATTTTTACTATTGTTCATTTCTTTTCTGGACCAACTTTCTTTTCCTTGAGTCTAAGTTTGGAACCAAGAGTCTTTTCCTTCTTCTTTTTAGTGCTTTTCTTCATCTGTCCTACTGTTTCCTTGTCCTCTGTATTAAGGATTTTCTTGTTCGACTTCTCGTATTGCTGAGCCAAAGCATCGAATTGTTTCATAAGCTTGGCCTTCTCTCTTTCCTCCTTCTTTTTTGTAGTTCTAACTTGTGCCTCGGTCTCTTCATCTTCAAGCAAAGCACTGTCACCTCCAGTGGTCAACTGCTCGGTATCAAGTTAATTCATGAAAGCCTATGCTTTTCTTAGTTCATCAATCTGCTTCTTTTGGTCCTTCACTTCAGGGTCCAAATAAGTTGACTCGTATTGTTCATGAGGGTGGAATTGATCGTTTGCGTCTTCGTAGAGTCTTCTTCTCTTAATCAAATCTATTACCTTTAAGTAATCTATTGAGAGAAGAGGATCATCCTTAAGAGTCTTTGGATTTCTTTCAAGCAACTTCTTTATCTTAAAGAATTCCATGTTTGCATCTACTAAGAACTCCTCCTTATCATAAGCCTTGTAGTTATTCTTGAATACTGGGTTGATATTTCTCTTCACAAGTTCCTGATCAACTCTGAATCTGATCTTTCTAGTTAACTCAACAATCTGACCAGTAAGTTGATCTTGCTCTTCAGTAGTTCTTTAGTCAACTCCACCAAGAGCGTTCTTTCTCTTCAAATCAAGCCAGATTTTTTTCAATCTCTCAGTTTTATCAACATCATTCTCCCAGAATTTGTAGGCTTGGTCGAGCAAGTCATTTTCAAAAATGTTTACTGAAGTCTTTTCTTTGATGAACTCTTCGTACTTAGTATCTTTTCTTGATGCTCCTAAGTTTGAAGTATTTGGGAAAGCCAATCTGGTCTCTTGCTGAGGATAGTTGCTATAGTACTCTTCATATGTGAGAACCTTCTTGGCGAGTTCTTCATGCTCTTTTTATTCAACCATTGATTTAAGCTTGAGTTCCTCTTCATCAATCAATTTAAGAAGATCTGCCTTGATTGTCATCTTCTCAAGTTTCTGAGGGTACTCAAATTCTAGGTCAGCTTGCATTAGAGTCAATCTCACTAAATTCTCATTTTTCTTTAATGAAGAAAGTACATTGGGCTCTTTAACATTGCTAAAATCCACATCACCGTTTTAATCTAGAACTACATTATGCTTTTATAGTTTGTAAAGAAGTGATTTAGCCGCTCTTTTAAGTCTAGTTGGACCCTCCCTTACTCTCCTCAAAACTTATTCATTTGATAAGTTCTTAAGACCATCATGAATATGTGATCTTTCATGGAAGATTTTAAGCAAACTTTCAGCTCTCTATAAGAACCCTTCTTATATTTCTGAGAGTGTCTCTTTTTTATTGAGTGCATTCTAGTCTTTAACAATTTCATAAAGAACAGGAGTGTAGGATTAAACACTGTCTTTTTATTGTACCTTTTGGTAATCAGTTGTGTAAGCATCTTCAATGCTTTCTCTTGTGTATGAGATGTCTTCATCTTCTCCGCCTTCGTTTTAAGCTGAATTTTATTTCTATTTGTTGTGTTAAAGCATTGTCTCCATTTCCTTAATCCATTCATTCTGAGCTCTCTAATACTTAGGGATATCTCTCTCAAGTCTCTTCATCTTCATGGAACTTTCAAGTTCGGCTATTCTTTGCATTCTATCAAGATAAGAGTCGCCAAAAGCATTGAAGGCAACTCCTCTGATGATTCTCATCTCCTCTCTTTACTATTGAATGAATTTACCTAGATCCTTTTCAACTATTTGAAAAGCTTTTTCCTCTGTGTAACCCTTTGACATCAAAGATCTTTGCTTTCTAATAAAGATAGCTGCAGAATGAGAAAGCTCCATATTACCACCGAACTGCTGGAAGAAGTGATTGTGCTGAGGGAAGTATTTAACTTCGGGATACTTGGCATAGAACTTATATAATAGATTCCAATCTTCGTCTTAGCCAGTATAATCACCTCCAGAAAATGTATTGGTTCCCAAGAATGATTGGCCGCCAAAGTACTTGGTAAGTTCATAGCCTACAAACTTTCTCTTGAAGCCTCTTTCAAACCAAATGTTCATTTTATTAATTAATAATATTAATGGTTATAAATATTTTAAAGCGACATTTCTCGCGGGGTTTTGGGGTTTTGGGGTTTTGGGGTTTTGGGG